TGAAAGCTAGCATAGCAGTTAGCATTGGTTTGCTTAGTCTATGGATAAGTGGTGGCGTTTTCAAGGGCAATGAATCTGGAACCTCTCAAAAGGCCTTTTTAAGAAGAAGGTATTTTATGCTGGAAGGAGACAGATGGCATAAATGTTCAGCGGTAGCTTTTTATCTTTGGGAATCTGGATTTTAAAATATTGACTCAGTGATGGATGAATTTGGATGTCTCAAGTGTTGTCTCCCAAGAAGCACTTAAATGGCACACCGATGGCGAATGTCAGGGTGGGGTGCTCTGGCATCCAGTCCTAAGCACTAACTTGCTTGAGTGAGTCAAGTCAGTCTCTCACTTTTCATTTTAAAAACTGAGCTGATGCTCTAGAACATCGCACACTTCGGTCTGCCTCTCTCTGTTTTCCCTTCAGTCCAAAGAAAATGCTGCCTTTGTCTCCATGTCCATCCCTGTTTCAAACATGTTCTCTGCCTTTGCTCACCTTCACTTTTCAGAGTCCTGCACAACTTATCTCCTGCATCTCTTGCCCTTCTTTTTTTCCCTGTACTTCCCCATTACCGTTTTCTCTCCAGCTTCAGGCCCTTGTTCTAAAAACGAACTTTTCCCGGCAATGCTTATAAACCATGTCTCCCCACATAAAGTACAACCAAAATTAAACCTTTCCTTTCTTCTTTCTCTCTCCCTCCTGGCTACATATGGTAGCTGGTAAATTAACTAAACAGCAACCTCCATAGCACTAAATGGGTGTGCACATATAACTACATTGTGCTGTGTTATCCTTCCTCCCCTCCATTGCAAATTCTGAGATCTCCATTGTAAGAGCTTATAGTCCAAAGTAAGAATCCTCCCATTAGAAATTTCCCAATGCAATTTGGAGAATATTTGACTTTCATAATGCTATGCAAGCCTATTTTTAGTTAAATCACCAACCATCATATGTCATCCAGCTATTTTTTGTCTTGGTTCCTAGCATACGTTTAATTTGTAAACAGGATTTTATCCATAAAATTAACATTCTTCATAGTCTAAAGCCAATAAATTACTGGATTTACATATTAAACTAGTAATTTAGGGCTTGAGTCTGGTTTTTAGGCTTGTGTGCTCGTGCATATATGTGCATGTGTGTACATACACATATATCCACAGAGATGCATCTCTCTATTCCCCGATGGGTTTTTACTATAGCAAGGTAAAAGACATTTGCACACTGTTTCTGCTTTGAGAAATCCAGAGTACCCAAAGATACCAATAGTATGCTGGCTGTGGGCAGGACTTGGCAGATGGTGCATTTGGATGCGGATTTTTCAAGATGAAAATGGAGAGAGTCTCTCTTTAGGCTTTCACAGCTTGCTGTGCAAGCACTATTGTTCCAGTCAGCTGTGAGTTGCATCAGTCTACAGTCAATTTAAAAAAAAAAGAAAAAAAAAAGGGGGGCTCTTCTCTTGTGTCCCGAGGTCCTCTTTGTTGGTTCCTTCTGTCATACAGTCCACCCTGTGACTCAACTCCTCACTCCTACCCTCCATTTTGAGGATTACTTCTAGGTATTGATCCAATACACCCTTCTAGTAGATGAAATCCCAGTTCTGGCGATCTCAGTATTTGGTACGAATTGCAGGGTTCAACCTGTTCTAAACAGATTAGTTTTCCCTTTTGTGCACCAGTCTCTGAAAACATCATTGAAGTGTGTGTCCTGTCCCCCTCCCCCTCCAATCCTCTGCTATTTTTTCTCTGTCTATATAAATTTAATATTTCATATGTGTATCTGGAACATCTACAGAACTCAGATTGTTACTTAAAGTTTTTTTCCAATGGCATTTTTGCAAACAAATAATGTGGTTGTAAGAGAACCTAATCAGTATTTGAGCTGACAAGCAGCCAAACAAAAAAGATATTTAGAAGAGGCCCCTGATTTCCCTAATGACAGGATATACCCATCAAATAAACTCAGTAACAGCTGCTCCATTGTGTTAATGATTTTAAGATGTCTTTACTGTCTTAAAAGTTTTTTTTTTTTTAATTATTATTTATTTACTTTTTTCTAGAGAAGATATAAATTCTTAATATATCTTCTTGGGAGGGGAGTGGGGAGAGGAACTAACAGGTATACCAACTACAGGCTGCTTTCAGTGACTATAAATTATCAAATTGTTTAATTTTAAAGCTTGGCCTTAAGAGGTGATCACAGAATGCAGTTAGTTCATAGAAATGGTTTTGCGAAGGAAGAAAAAAAAAGAAAGAGCTAAAAGGCTTTTACCAAATGCCACTGAAAGAATTGGTGTCTGTCTGGAGTAGCACCTGAAGTCATCTGTGATAGTTTAATGATGGAACCCAAAGTTGGAGTTAATTTATTGCGCCCTAATACCAGGGCACATGTAGACAGTGATGCTTTACTGTGGAGCTAATTAGGCAACTCTGCAGTAATGCCCATGTGTAGGTGCACCCAATGTGGACAAATAATCAAACCTGACCAGTCAAATGGAGGAGGGAGGGAACTTAATATACATCGCCTGTTTTGTGGTAGGTGTTGTTTGTGGCCACTTCTGAAACTAAACTGGGGAAGCTTATTCTTGTCTCATTAAATTAAGCCCATTTCATTCATGGCCAACTGCTTCAATATAGTTTCCATTTACCATGGGATGGGAGTGGACACATACAATACTAGAGTAGCTGTTTCAGATCTCCCTCTCTCCCCCACACATTGACTCGGTACAATTTGTCCATCTCTCCATATCTTGTATTGGCGGTAATGAGAATAATAGCACCACAGCATAATGTCAAGTCTTGATTTTACTCTACTCTTATAAAGATGGGGATGTGTTTTGTGTGATCCTATTTTAGTGATTTCTTTTTTCATTGGGGCGGAAGACAGTGCCATGAGAAACGATGTTAGGGAAACAGAGAGTACAGTAACATACGGGGAAGGAGGTTGGACAGATCTGAGGGAAGAAAGAAATAAAATGGAGAGAAAGGAAAATCAAAAGGAAGAGTGATTAAGAGAGTGGGACAGAAGACAAAGTATGAACAAATACAAGTGAAAAAGTGAAACAGAAAAGTTGTATTTTATAAAGGCTCTTCGACTGCTCTGATCTCCATGTATCAAACTATCATCAGAGGAGTATATAAGCAATATTATTATGTAGCTTATTCTCATTCAGCTTCTCACTAGGGGGGAATTGCATGTGCAGTGCTGTGTTTTAGTACTGCTTTAAATATACCTACTACTATCTGTTTGTTAGAGAAGGCAAGATTAATGAAGGTTACCTAATACTTGAGAGGGAACAGCGAGGAGGTCTTATGGGATTTTGTTCCACAGTTTCAGCTCAACCTCCTGTGAATGCTTTCTCCTGCACAGACAAGCTATGCCTTTATAATAGAAAGCTCCACTGTGTCAGCCCTGGTTTCCATCCTGCATTATTAGCCAATTTTATTTTTTTTAGATATGTTGGCTCTCCATGGCATTGAGTGCCCTAGAGATAAGGACTGAGACCTTGAACTTTCTTCATTATTCTGTGAGGAGCTGTATGAAATACAGAGGACAGTGTAAAGTCCTTGTGGTAGCCAGTACTGCTGAGAGGACAGGCCACAACTTTCCGTAAACTAGAATAAGCTTCCTAATGGCTAATGCATTAATGCTCAGGTATATTGCTTTGCTTCCATTCAAATGGAAGATAAGATGCGGATAAGTGAAGCCACTATTTGTGCCAGTACGGGCTGGAACCCTTTAGCCACTTTTAGGTGGTAGAAAGAATTACATGGATACATGGATACAACCTACACC